CCCAACCTGGAGCTGGCAACCCTAGAGAACAACCCTAGGTTTGTGGATGCACTGGACAGGAGTAGTTTGTGGACTGTGCACCAAAGAAACTAGTCCTTCTTAAGATTTTTTCCATGAAGAAAATGCATTTATATAAAATATAAAAAGCTACATCAAGCTAGAAACCCTGAGATACTATAAATCCCCCATTTATAATGGAGTAATTTTGTCTGTTAATCCAAAATCACCATAACCAAAGATTATTTACTCTTGGCATTCATAAAAATATCTTGAATAGTGCAGGCTGCAACAGGTGTGAAATATTTTCAAAGCCTCAGGAGACTTTCAGAAAAGAGAATGTTCCACACTTCTTAATAATATTATACCAGCAACCAATTCACTACATTTCCAGTTGAAAATGGAAGAGCTGGATTATTGCTGGAGACATTATAGATTTTATTATAAAGATTTTCCAGCAAATGGACTTAGTGTATATCCTTGCCAACTTGTGTTAGATCCTTCTGTGCATATTGATATAGAAGCATTTTGTTGTTATTTCAGTGATAAAAACAGGCTCACAGTCCCTGGACCCCAACAGCAGATTCAGAAATGGCTGTAATACCCGTATGAAGTGATGAGGTGGTTTCTCTGAAAATGTTATATGCAGCACAAAACTTCTGCCAACTGGATGTTTGTTTTAACTAAAGCTGCGACATGTTATCTGCACCCCTCTCTGGTACTCCAAGTTCTGGTCCAGCCCCCCTTGATCTCTCACAGGCACCACAAAACTGATACCGGCTGTTCTGAGATGCAGGCAAGCTCCACTTCATCACTTCTCTGGTGAACCACGGCAAGGTTTGCCCTTAATCTTGAGCTCTTTGAGGCCTCCCTCACACATTCTTTTAATGGAGGAGGAGCCACTGGCACACATGTGACTCACATGACCATGTGGGTGGGGCCTATGGCGCAAGTCTTTCCCACCTGGTCAGCAGCCAATGGTGTACCTAGAAAAAAGACCGCTGTTTTCATGAGTGAGGATTCCTAGGTAACTCACCTTTAGGATGGGGAAGAACAATTGAGTAGTCTAAGAAGGCATGCACAGCAAACTACATTTAAATGCAGTTTATGGCACACAGTTGATTCGTGTGTCAGAAAGGTCCTGTTCTCTCTCTTTCATTCATAACCCAGGGATTGAACCTGGGACATAAGAAAAGAAGAGCCCTGCTGGATCAGACCAGTGGTCCATCCTGTCTCACACAGAGGCCAATCTGTACCTCTGGATGGTCAACAACAGGGTGTGGAGGCCGAGGCCTTACCCTGATGCTGCCTTCTGACTCTGGGATTCACAGACTGACTGCCTCTTAATGTGGAGGTTTCCTTTAGTCACCGTGACTAGTAGCCACTGATAGACCTCTCCCCCCTGAGCCTGTCTAGTCCCCTTTTAAAGCTGCCTATGCCTGTGGCCATCACTATATCCGTTGGCAGCAAATTCCACATTTTAATCTCTTGCTGTGTGGACTATTTCCTCTTGTCCATCCTGAATCTACTGCCCATCAACTTCATTGAAAGCCCTCTAGTTCTAGTATTTTGGGAGAAAGGAAAAAGTGCTCTCTGTCTACTCTCTCCACCCTTTGCATAAACTCTGTAAACTCTTAGCCACCTAACCACACAAAATAAAAGAGAGGTACCTTCAGAAGGCATCTGGAGGTAGTTGCTACCTGAGCAGCATCTCCACATCCCCACACAAAGAACCTGACTGCATGTTCAGAAGAGCAAATGTGACAGAACCTTATTGGACAATAGGGTTGCCAAGTCCATCTTCCACCCCCAGCGGGGGACTTTGGGGGCGTTCCTGGAGGGGGTGGGGCATCCCCAACGTGATGACGTCACGTTGGG